AAACCTAGTTCTAAAGAATTACTTTTTTTACTCATGGAGGAATTCATGCAGTTCATGGTTCCTTTTTGTGAGAAAATATTGTCCTTGCCTGCTATCTGTAGCCTTGCAGAAAAGAGCTGGCTCTTCTGAGGACAAAACACATCATTGTTAAGCCCTGCCCTGTCTGATTGAAACAATGGCAGAGAAAAAACATATGCACTTATGTGGATTTATGCATACCAAATCCTTTCAAATCAACAATACATAATAATAATTGTTTTCCTAATTCTTGTATGTGATCCTGATTTTCAATTACCTGTTTAAAAACCCTCCTACTAAAAAACACTCAAGACTAAACATGAAATAAATGTGGTTATGAGATAAAAAGAAAGACAAAAAATTAATTACTAGGAATCCTTTAAGGTATAAGCCATACAGAGAAAATCAGCTTTTATTTTCACTCACTCTTCCTTACCTCCTCCCCTCAATCCCTAACAAATACAAGGGTGAGACAGGGAAGTTTACATGTTGCTAGGCCTCGGATTTGCGCAGGGAAGACATCTCTCCCAGAGAGAGATACTAGAGTGTTTTGCATCTTCTACTATGGCACACAAATCCATATACTGAGCTCGTTGATGTATCTCTTTCCGTAGAGTGAACAGATTTGGTTATTCTTGGTGTCAAAATATAGGCCTTTACTCCTCCTATTGAATCAGAAAAAGTTTCGACTTCAAAGATCCTTAGGTGTTATCTAATGCCATCCTTTCAAAATTCCAAGGTTTTGACTCAGGGAAGCCAACAAGCAAGCTCTTTTTGACCACAGTTCTGAAACTTTACACTCAGGAGCATGTGGAGGACTCGAAGTCTTTCCTTTAAAAGCTACCAAGGACTTCAAAAAGAACTCAGGTAAGACGTGGAGGGAGCTATGAAATTTATTTGAGACTTCTAATCTCCTAATAGCGTATTTCTATATTAAAATATAGAGCATCAATTTAACTAAAATTTACCACTCAAAATAACCATATTCCCAAAATATTTAAAAAGTACATTTTAAATAGAGAGGAAATAATATAATTTTACAATTAAAATTAGTTTCCTTAGTAATTCCAAACTTAGATAGAGAAAAATGACTCCCCTGAAATGGGGGATTAAATCTGAACACATGTAAATATAACGGGAGCTTCCAAAGAACAAATTTAGTTATAATCAAAGTGTTAATTGAAAATCTAAAGCTTCCTGGAAACTGTTTCTCATGGCCGTAAGGCCTTTAAAAAATGAAAGCAGAAACTCCTATAGCATAAACATTTAAGTAATATTTTGCTCCAATATTAGAAAGGAAACTATAAAAACACAAAATAATAAGATAGAGTTATTGAAAAGATCATGGCTCTTAAATTCCTCTGGAAACTTGAAGGCATCCAATGGCAAGGCATGTGACTCAGTGACAGAGCAACTGGCCAGCACACACAAGGAGCTGGGTTAACTCTATAGCACCGCAAAAAAAGCAAATCACCAAGACACAAAACAACAAGGCACACTGAACAGCTGAGGTACTGGCTCACATCTTTACTAGGGAGGTAAAAACAGGTAAATTGTGGACACACAGAAAGTCAAAGCCCAGCATGGACTATAGAGACACACACACATATATATATATATATATATATATATATATATATATATATATATATATGTATTTCTTTTCATTTTTAAAAGGCCTTAAGACTATAATAAAGTTTCCAGAAAGCTTGAGATTTTCAGTTAACATTTTGATAACTAGATTTGTTCTACGGAAGCTCAAGTCAAACGTGTGTGTGTATACATATATATGTATACATACACATATAAATGTATGTGAATGTGTATGCCTGAATTGCTTATATCCAGATGCCACTCTGGGCTGCCTATATGAACACCACCACCAGAAGGGCCAGCTAAGAACAAACAGTACAGTATAGAAACTACAGAAACTGATCAGTTTCTGAGGTAAAAATAAAATTATAAGTCAGCTAACAATCACTGCCAATAAAAAAGAAAAGCAAGAACACCTGCTGAGTACTGTATAGAACCAAAGAAGATGAAAATCTAGACAAAATGTTAGAGTGTTTCACAAATGACTACTTTTTGTACTAAGAATTACAACATCAAATGCTTTTTTGACATATGAGTTAATAGTAAGTCAGGATAATATACCAGGGCCTGATATGTAGCTGAATAGTAAAGTATGTGCCTAACATGCGCGAGGCCCTGTGTTTATCTCCAGTATAAAACAAAAACAAAAGAAAGAGAAGGAAGGGAGGGAGGGAGGAGAGGAAGAAATCATCACTGCAAACCTAGGCAGCTCCTTTCTTCTGTAGCTGTGGGAATGTTACCTCCCCACGTCCCAGTTTCCGCACATAGAGTATGAAGAACTGTTGAAAAGATTATGAACCCCCATGAAGAAAGCCTTGCAAAGTCCTACATACAGTGACAAGCAGCAGCCATTTCTTCGATGCTCGAGTACGAGGAAGAAGGCATTCACAGACTGCTGTGGGAAGAGTGCCCAACCTCAACATAAAATCGGAGGCAATCAAAAACTCAGTAGGTCCAAACTGTCTTAAGACTGAAGCAAACACATGAATCCCAAGCTATATTAATAGTCTACAAAAGAGGAGCCAGAAGCAAGACTTCCAGCCTGGAGCTGTGAGTCTTTCAAATGAGAGAAAAGTTTCCCTGTGGAAAAGAGTGCAGCAGCACCCACAACTGACAATGAGCAGCACACAGAAGTCAGAGATGTATTCTTTAATGGGTTTGCTCAGTACAGTATAGTCACAGAATAAGGAACTGGAGTCTGACAGACATTAATTTGAATCCTTAATTCACCTTGTGCCCTTGAGGATATGTCTATTCACTTTCTACATTGTTTAATGGAGATACTAATGGCATCTACCTTGGGAAGTGGTTAGAAAGATTAAGGAACATAATGTAAATTCTTATTTGAACCAATAAAGTTTTACTCAAGAAATGCTCTTTCTATAATATTGGGTAAAATAGCAAAGACTCAGAATCATAAAGATAGATTATATTAAAAATAATAATTTCTCACTCAGCCAATCTAGAATTTATTCCAAAAAGAATACAAATTACTGTTGATTTTCTCAAAGTTGTAATTTGTTAATAGAATTTGGTCATTGGGTGAAAACAATTGTGTTCTGGGAAGAAACAAAAGCACGCCTGGTGGGGTGAGCTTCTGGGTGTTTCTCACATGACAGTAATGACTCATTTGGTTTTCTTACCAACTCCATGTCTGGCTCAGAATTTTAAATATGGCTGCTGCTAAATGAATCACTTGACAGGCAGTCAATAAAGCTTAGTTAAACTACGTTCAGGTGGACTACTTGACAAAGAAAGCTTGAGATTTCTATTATTGATGGCAGAACATTTAAACATTTAATTCTATAATCTGAGATACAGTCTAACAGCATGGGGGTTGAAAACATGTTATACAAAAACAAAAACCCTGTACATGAATCCTCAGTGTGAATATGAATCCTGACTGGACACATATAATCCAGAGTGAGGTAATCTAAGTTTTTATTTTGTATGTAAAATTGGGATAAGAATACCTAATATTTGGTAAGCACTCATTTAAAAGTGATTTATACAGGGTTGGGCATTTAGCTCAGTGGTAGCAAGCACAAGGCCCTGGGTTCAGTCCTCAGCTCTGGAAAAAGAAAAAAAAAAGTGATTTATACAAAAGTTCAGGTGACAGTGATTGAGAAGGATTAGTGCAATTAGGTTTGTGTGAATAATTTCCAACTCCAGCGTTAAGGTGGGCTTACATATGAACTGTATTTAACCCAGACAGAGCTTTTATATACAAAGCTCTTTATCGGTAGGCAGGATTTTGAATTATATATATATAATTTTCAGAAAGCAAGCACAGGCATGAAATACATTTCAAAACTATGTGTTAGCAATTAAGATGAAAGTACACCTGCTTGATGTGGACCCACAGTGCTCCTGAATTACATGATCATAACTGCACTATCATCCCACAAACTAGTTGGCTCATCTGTTAGTGTGACTTAGCAACCAAAGAAAAGACTGAAATTTTGGCAGGATATTAACTTATTTGAAAATGCATCTATCATATTAATTTGGTCTTTTGGCAAAGGTAAGTACAATATATAGTCATATAGAAAATGTCAACTGATCATAAATTCAATGACACATAATAATTCACCAAAAAATTAATTTTCAAATACTTAAATAATATAGTTCAGAAACACATTTAGAAATAAATATTCCTTAGTATTTCATAACTAGTAATAAAACAATCACATTTTTATTTTTCTCCACTGGTAGAAAACTAAAACCATAAAAAGAAAGTTTATTATAGTGTTATATTTTCTTTATTCTTTAATATTTTGAATAAAATTAGGAATTTAAATTAAATTTTACTGTATATATTATTATATAAAATAGAGCTCTTTCAAGTGATCTATAAAGTGCCATACCTCGTAAGCAATGAAAAAAAAGTTTGATTAATATTTATAATTTCTATTTATTAGAATAGGCTGACTAAAATGCAGTTTTTCAACTCCTAGTTTATTTAATGTAAATTTAAAACAACTTTAAACAACTCTCCTTAAGTACTAATGTTTTGGCTTTGGAAAATATAATAAAGTTCATGCTCTTTTGTTGTATATATATTTGTACATGTATTTATATTTGCATACACACATATATGAGTGTGTATTATATTAGCTAGCATTATATCATTTGATGTATGCACTCCAGAAAATAAAACTTCATTTGACTTACATTTTCAGTATCAATAACAACTTAACAAAATGGAAAACATGTCCATGACTACACTTAGAGAAAAAGGAATGCATGAGCTTTCAGCTCACTTCAGCTCATTTATTTTCTACTTTATTTTGAAGCTTGCAATGTGATTCAACCAAATATCGACAACAGAAAAGGTGTGAAAGACTGAAGTGAAAATAAAAAAAAAAAAAAAAGTAAATGTCACTAACCCAAAGCATGCACTGTTCCTCTGTGCTTGCTGGAGCTCTTGCTTGTTTTAAGAACAGGAACATTTTCTTTGAACTGCAGCTCACAAAATTTTTCAAGAATTTTTGTCATTTCTTCTGTAACTGTATCCAGGTAAGTTTCATTAATGAATTGCACCATTGAGGATGGCGCTAAAATTTCACACAGAATGTTAAAATCCTCTTCTATCATTGAATATAGCGCGAGTACCGCGCTTCGGTATCCAATAGCACTTCCTTCTAAGTCCCCGTCTCTGTGGCAGGAGGGAAGGGAGTCTCGCAGGAACTTGGCCAGCAGCCTCTTCTGTATGCTTCCATACTTGGCGAGCACGTCAGATTCGGAGTAGAGCAGGAGGAGTTGCTGCAGACAGTGATTCTTCAGTTCAATTTTTTGCTGTGAATTGTTCATCTCATTATGGCTTTCTAACCTGTTCACTAAGAAGCGTCGAAGATGTAGTCTTACATCATCCCAAATAGACTTTACATCCACAGAGGAGTAATCTTCGACAGAGTGCAGTGATGTCCCTGAGAGGAAGGAGAAGGAGGTCCCTCCGAGGGGTGACAGGAAAGAGATGCCGCTCTGACAGGAGAGGTCCCAGAGTAAATCCAGGATCATCTCTTCTTGGTTTTCTTCATTTTTCAGCAAATCTTGCTGATAAAAGTAAATTACAACGTTAGAAATGTAATGAAATCTAAGAATAACAAAACTTATGTCTACACACATTTTATAATTGATTAAACTTAGAATGAATATTCAATTTTCCTCAAGATATTTTTGTCTTGCACTTGGGATTTAAACGACACTGACGGTAAAGAATGTGCACCCTCCTATGGACAGAGATAGTGGAAGTACAGTCAGCTATCTATTCAGTTATATTTCTGTACATGCACATTTAAGCCCCACTATTCAGTGTAACCTGAGCTATAGCAAAGCTTAAACACATCTAAATACAGGCCTGAAGAAAACATTGAATAAATGAGTTCCTGAGACAAAATAAAGTCAAGATAATGTCCTAATTAATTTCTGGCAGACCATTTTTATGCCTGAATGAATATACTTACTATAACCACCCCTCCCCCCAATACAATCCTTAAGATAATTCTAGAAAAGAAATCACTAAATACAGTAGATGCTTAGGGGTCACTAATAGCTGCCATCCTGAGAAATAAAATTTAATACATTGGAAGATTCCAACTTTCATTTAAATTTATTGCTATAAACAATGGTAAGAAAGGTTTTACTGTAAAAATTAATCTGAGAATATTTCTGTTCACTACAAAGAAATAACTAACTCAAAATAGGGAAAAAAATTTCAGAAAGGCCCCCAAAAGGTGATAGGGAATTATTCATTTAATCTTTCTGTGTTGGTAGAAAACAATGGTGGTATAATTAGGAATAATAAAAGAACAAAAAAATTACTTTCTTTCTAGACTCTGAATTATACACACATTCTCCATACATGACAACTTTCCTAATTACATCCATTTTCAGCCAATTCTGAAATTAGTTCATATTCTCTAAGTAGAAACAAGCTGATTAGAAAAGAAATGGAAGCAAGGCTCAAGTGGCATAAAAATGAGTCTGGCTGTGAATTTTCTTATTGATAAAGATACCACAGGTATTACATGCAATTCAGAATTAAACAGCTAGACAAATTCCTGCAACTGGTTCTCATTCACTCAAAGAACTACAATGCACATTTAATATGCAAATATTAGAGCAGATCCCAACATTTTATTATATAAAAGACATTTTTCTTATAATCTCAGGTTTGTCCATAATGAAAACTCTGACAATGATATTTGGAAACCCTAATAGCCCAATTTATGGATAAGGATATCTGACATGGTACACACTAGAATGACATTTCAAACATCATATGTGAGTTTTTCAGTGAGGGACAGGACCTAGCATAAATGCTTGGTTTCCATGTCTCTTATCTCTTATACTATTTAGTTATTTACATCTAGAAAGAAAATGTTCTCCAAGCGCACCGGACCCAGCAGCACTAAGGCCATCAGTGAATCAGAAGTGCCATATAAGTGTCTCAGCTTTATCTTTCCATAAGCCAGCCAATAGCTGTAAATATCTGACAAGCGAAGAATAACAGAATACAGAGGTTCAAAACACGTGTTTTGTATGATTACTTAAATGGTGAAAATAATCTCATTATAACTATCATACTAAGAGCCAGTTTCTTACCTGACTAATATTTTCATTGAAAAATAGATATAGAAAAATGCCATCAAGAGTGAATCTAGTACCATGTAAAAAAATTGATAAGGGCCCAATTTGTGGGCCCCTAGACCAGCACAGATCAGGGAGCAACAGGTAAGAGACCACATCCCACACCCCAATCTACGGGCCTGTCACAAGCCTGCCAGCAACAGTGGCCAGGTCTGCCCAAGCCCCTCTGTGCTCCACTTTCACCTCAGGACCCATACCCCAGTTCCCTGGCCTGCACCATCCTAGGGACCCACACCAATATCCAACCCCTGAGACCAGCACAAATCAGGGAGCAGCAGCAACCTGGCCATTTCCTGAGATCTTCCCCAGTCTGCAGCCCTGAGGCCAGCACTGATCAAGGAGCAGTAGGAAAACCAGAGGACTAAGGACATCTGTGGCAACGAGCTCTACCTACAACACCAGAGAACTATTACCTTCAGAGTCCGCCAGGCATGCTATTAACAGAGTCTACTAAATAGGTAGAGGTCAGCACAAGAACACCAGCATCAAAACATAGGGCCATATAACACCACCAAAACCCAGCTATCCAACCACAGCAAGTCTTTAGGATACTGTCACACTGGAAGCACAAGAAAACGATCTTGAATCGGAGGTCATGAAAATGATAGAGGCCTTAAAAGAAGAAAATAAATATCTAAAAGAAATGGCGGAAAATAGAACTAAACAGAAGAAGGAACTGAATAAATCCTTTAAAGAAACAAAGGAAAATACAAACAGGTGAAGGAACTGAGTAAACCCCTTAAAGAAATACAAGAAAATACAACTAAATGGGAGAAGAAAATGAATAAAACTGTCCAGGACCTAAAAATGGAAATGAAAGCAATAAAGAAAACAATCAAAGGCAATCCTGGAAAAGAAAACCTGGGGAAGAGAGCAGGAACTACAGACACAAGAATCAATAATAACTGAATACAAGAGATGAAAGAGAGAATCTTAGGTGCAGAAGATATAATTGAAGAAATCGATTCATGAGTGAAAGAAAATGTTGAATCTAAAAAGTTCCTCACACAAAACATGCAAGAAATCTGGGACAATATGAGAAGACCAAACCTAAGAATAATAGGAATAGAAGAAGAAGACTCCAAACTCGAAGGATCAGAAAACATTTCAACAACAACAACAAACCATACAAGAAGCCTACAGAACACCAAATAGTTGTGACCAGAAAAGAAAATCCTCCCATCATATAATAACCAAAACACTAAATATACAGAACAAAGAAAGAATATAAAAGCCACAAGGGAAAAAGGCAAAGTCACATATAATAACCAAAACACTAAATATACAGAACAAAGAAAGAATATAAAAGCCATAAGGGAAAAAGGCAAAGTCACATATAAAGGCAGACCTATCAGAATTACACCTGACTTCTCTAGAGAGACTATGGAAGTGAGAAGGGCCTAATCAAAGGTTATGCAGACACTAAAAGAGCACAGATGCCAACCTACACTACTCTACCTAACAAAACTCTCAACAAACATTAATGGAGAAAACAAGATATTCCATGACAAAACCGAGTTTAAACAGTACCTACCCACAAATCCAGCCCTACAGAAGACACTAGAAGGAAAACTCCAACCCAAGGAGGTTCACTACACCCAGGAAAGCACAGGAAACAAATAATGTCACAGCTACAAAACCAAAAGAAAGAAAACATGCGCACACACACCCTACCACTACCAACATCAAAATAAGAGGAAGTAACAACAACTGGTCATCAACATCTCTCAACATCAATGGCCTAAACTCCCCAATAGAAAGAAAGGCACAGGCTAACAGAATGAATTATAAATGGAACCCATCATTCTGTTGTATACAAGAAACATATCTCAGTAATAATGATAGACATTACCTCAGAATAAACAGCTGGAAAAAGGTTTTTCAAACAAATGGACACAAGAAACAAGCCAGAGTAGTTATTTTAATATCTAATAAAAAAGACTTTCAATCAAAATTAATCAAACAGATGGGGAAGGGCACTTCGTACACATTCAAGGAAAAAGATGATGTCTCAATTCCAAACATATGTGGCCCAAATGCAAGGGCACCCACATTTGTAAAAAAAAAAATATTAAAACTTAAATCACACATTGACCCCAACACATTAATAATAGATTTTAACACAGCTCTCTCACCAATGGACAGATCACTGAAAAAGAAATTAAACAGAGAAAAAATGAAACTAACCAATGTTATGAGTAAATTAGACGTAACAAGACATCTACAGAACATTCCATCCAACCCAAAAGAATATATCTGATTGTAAGTACTTCATGGCGCCTGCTCCAAAATTGACCACATATTCAGACACAAAGCAAGAATTAACAAATACAAGAAAATTGAAATAACACCTTGTATTCTATCAGACCAATTTGGATTAAAGCTATATTTAAACAACAACAGAAATAATAGAACACCCAAAAATTCATGGAAACTGAACAACTCTCTACTTGATGACTAGGGAGGCAAACACAACCCAGAGGAGTCAATGGCAGGAAAAAATCAAACTCAGGGATGATAAAACAGTCAACAAAAACAAGAGATAGTTCTTGGAGAAAATCAACAAGACAGACAATCTCTTAACCAAACTAACTGAAAGACAGGGAGGGTATCTAAATTAATAAAATCAGAAATGAAAAGGGGGATATAAGAACAGACACTGAGGAAATCCAAAGAATCATTAGGTCGCACTTAAAAAAACCTGTGTGCCACAAAATTAGAAAACCTAAGTGACATGACTGATTTTCTTGATAGATACCACTTATGAAAATTAAATCAAAATCAGGTTAATAATTTAAATGAAAGCATAATACCCAAGGAAATAGAAGCAGTCATCAAAAGCCTCCCAACCAAAAAGAGCCCTGAGACAGATAGTTTTAGCTCGGAATTCTACCAGACTTTCAAAGCATAACTATTATCAATACTCCTCAAAATTTTCCACAATACAGAAACAGAAGGAACATTGGCAATTGTGAGGCCACAGTCATCCTGACACCTAAATCACCCCAACAAAGAAAGAGAATTTCAGACCAATCTGCCTTATGAACATTGATGAAAAAATACTCAATAAGATACTTGCAAACCGAATCCAGGAACATATCCAAAATATTATCTACCATGATCAAGTAGTTTTCATCCCAGAAATGCACGGATGCTTTAACATACGAAAATCCATCATGTAATAAACCATATAAATAAACTGGAAGAAAAAAAAATCAGATGATCATCTCATTAGATGCTGAAAAGGCCTTTGATAAAATCCAACACCTCTTCATGTTTAAAGTCATAGAGAGATCAAGGATACAATGCACTTACCTAAACACAATAGAGGCAATATACTACAAGTCAACAATTAACATCAAGTTAAATTTACAGCATTCCCACTAAAATCAGGGACAAGATAA